CTCTATCTTTCCTTTACTGCATTTATCACTGACTTTGTCATTTGTTCTGAGCACCTTCACTATCTGTTCCACTTGCTCCTTCTCCCCCCAATATTTTCCAGCTCCTTGCAGTTCCAAAGAGGAGCCACATTGGATTCAAGACATAAACCTCGTTTCCCTCTCCACAGATGCTGCCAGTCCTGAATTTCTCCAACACTTTGCTTTTATTCCAGATTACTAGCATCCACTGTATTTTGTTTTCACTTGCTTGGAAGAAAAAATTACAATCAACTTTCTCAACTATTTTCGTGTTGTCCCAACAATTCTGTTGCAGGAAAGAATATGCTTCCGGCAAAGGTTACATATATATTTCAGACGTTGAATGATTTAGCAATTGCATTGAACAGCTGAAGCAGGGATCCTACCATGTTACCAGTTCGGAATGTAACCATATTTGATCATTTGAAAAACAAGCAGTATTTCTGTTCCAATTAAAACTTACACTGATTGCTCAAAAAAATAATCAACTTGAATTAAAAATCTCTGCTTTGCCACAACTGAAACCATATTCAGTCAGGTAAAGCAATTTGTTTTCTGCAAAACATACAATACTTGTCACTAAATTAATCTATATTTATTGTCAAGGCAGAGAACAAAGAAATTAGCCTTTATTTGCTGCATTTACAGCCTTGTCGTATCAGTTAGATGCAGTTAAATATTATTTAAAAGAACTGCTCAAAGAATTTATCTTCACTTCAGAAATGAAGTGCTCCTTGATATTTTTATCAGAAGACACAGCAAGAGAACCAGAAATCCCTCAGATGTGCAGACAAGAGAAATTAAGTGGGGGAATAAGCAAATGGCAAAAATGTTTAAAAATATTGTGTAATATTTGGTAAATGAGAAACTCAGAAAAAAATCAAGGGGCTGACTAGAGTGAAGAGTTGAACGTAACATCAGTAAAGAAAAAGCATTGGAGGAATTAATGGAATCGAAACGTGGCAAGTGTTCTAGACTTGATATCCTTAACCCTGGCCTTCTAAAGAGGTGGCTATAGAGATAATAGATTAAACAATAGTGATAGTTCAAAATTCCCTAGGTTCTGGGATGGTCCCAGCAGATCAGAAGATTGTAAGCATGTAGAATATTCAAGGAAAAACGGAAACAAAAAAACAGATTTAAAAATGTACAGTTGAGTTAACATCAGACATTGGAAACATGCTGGAATCCATTCACGTTAAGTGTTACGGCATGCAAGGAGTCCATTTAGTCCATTATGACTGCACCAGCTCTCCAAGTGAGCATCACAACTTTTTCTGCCATTGATACCCTTGCATTTTGTTTCTATTTATCAAAGACGTGGTTACAGAACACTTAGAAAAGCATATTAGACAGAATCAACATTATTTTATGAAAGGAAAATGGTATTTGACAAACCTATTAACTTGTGTGAGGATATAATTAGCACAGTAGAGAAAAGGGCACGAGTGGATGCAGCATATTTAGATTTTCAAGAGGCATTCAATAAGCTGCCAGGTGGTAAATGCAACAAGGATGCTCCCAGTGACTGGGAGTCCAGAAGCAGGGGTCAAAGATTAAAATATAGGCAGGCCATTTAGGACCGAGACGAGGAGATTTTTTTTCATCCAGAGTGATGAGCCTGCGAAGTTCTCTGCCACAGAAAGCAGTTGAGGCCAAACACATGTAGCAGAAGGAGTTGGAGTAGTTCTTAAGGCTACAAGGGTTAAAGGATATGGGGGAAAACAGGACAGGGTATTGAGTTAGATGATCAACCACCATCATATTGATTGGCAGAGAAAGCTTTCAAAGGTTGTATGGCCTACTCCTATTTTGTATGTTCTTGCACAAAATACCAGTTCACGGAGTTTGTTGTGGGGAGGTGGCATGTTAGAATGGATAGAAGATTGGCTAAAGAACAAAAACAGTAGCAATGAAAAAAAAGACACTTTCAAGTTGGTAGGTTGTCACTAATCAGATATCACAAGTTCAGTGCTGAGGTCTCTACCAGCTAGAATCTTTATTAATGACTTACATTAGGGCCTGAGTGTAATGTACCCAAGCTTAATGATGATATAAAGCTAGATGAGAAAAGTAAACTTTAAAAGCAGAGTTTGCAAAGGTACGTAGAAAAGTTAAATAAACAGCGAATGTGGTAGATGGAGCATAAAGTGGGAAAATGCAAAGTATATTTTGGTAGTAAGAATCGCAAGAACTGAACTTTTTTTTAAAGTTGTGAGAAACTTTCAAGTATTCAGAAGGATTCAGGTGTCCTTACACTAATAGGAAGTTAGAAGGCAGGTACACAAGTAATTAAGACAATAGAAGGCCTTTAATACAAGTGCAAATGGAGTGCAAATATTAGAAATTTTACAGCGCTTCTGTAGGATGACATGAGAAGCATGCATGTAATTTGTATTTCATACTGGATAGGGGATATACTTCCCTTAGATAGGTTAGAACAAAGGCTCTGTAGACTGACTGCTATGAGAAGGTCGTCCTGTTGGAAGAGATGGAGTGGAATGGACACATATACCTGAATGAGATGATCCATTGAAACACAGAGCAGGATTTAAACTAAGACGGCAGGGAGCCACACCCCCAACATCCACCTCCAAAATCTGCAGCAGACCTGATCTCCGATGGTCCTGGGGAAATTAATTAGTTGTTAATTAGCAACAGGAATTCCTGACTCTGGGGCTTCAGTGGGGACATTTAGTTGCTCTACCTCCCCTACTAGGCAGAAATTCTGTTCCTAGATATGCAGGTCAGAGGTTGGTGACACTCCAGTACCAGCAGCATCATGACTTTGGCAAGGGTTAGCCAGGGTTTTGGGTTCAATATTAGACTGCTGGAGAAAGCTAAGAAAGGGCGGGTTAGAGGGTCAGGGACATAGTGTCACTGGCCTAAAGGGCACAGGAATGACTCTCCGCACGCACGCATACACACCCCTCCCCATTCTCTCCTCCCCATAATGGAAATATCAGCAATGGTGGTATGAGACACTTAAGTAGGCAAGGGCATCCATTGGCAAATGTGCAGGAAGACTGTTTCCCTAATAAGTCAAGATCATGGGGCCACGGTCTCCAAATATGGAGTCAACCATATCATACATGGATTTTGTAGGTTGATGAATTTTGGAATTCTTTACGCAAGTAGACTATAGATGTTCAGTCAGTCACTCAATACATTCAAGGCTGAGTGTCAACATTTGAATAGCAAAAGAATACTGGGATTAGATGGCAAATGGAGTTGAATGTGAAGATCAACCGTGAACATTATATAAACCAAGTCTGGGACTAAATTATCTTCTCCAGTTACTATTTCATGTCTATTTGTACACAAAGCATTTAGAACTTCTCTGGATGCCAAATTATGGAAAATAAAAGTGAACTCCCTCCCTCTAGAGACTGGGTTGAAACTTGCCTGACTTAAATTACAAAGCTAAAAAGTGGACTAAAATCTATTGTTACACTACTTGAGTGCTCAGAACGGTAGCAGCTATTTTAATGTACTTGGGTTTTTTTAAACCAATTAACTCTGAAAATGGATCCCCAAGAATAACAGGAAGGAACCCTATTCACTGCAACAGATAAACATGCTCAGAAACTCAGAACTGGAAGTATATATCTGTCAAACTTCAGCTAGATAAGACTAACCACATCAAGATGACATCTGGGCAATAAATCAGAGTTGTTCTGAGCAAAGAGAAACTAATGTCCTGAACACACAGTGGGAGCATAATAACACTGTTCAATGAAAAATACAAGCAGGATTTATGATCTTCTGTCCAATTATTTTTCTTCTGCTAGGTATTAATCGACTTATTGGTCCACCATTAGTAGTTATCCATTGATATTTCACCCAAATGATCACTATTCACTTGACCCAGGATGGCAAGTGGTGACAGGCTTGCTGACAACAGAGAATATCTCAGCTGATCTCAAACTTGTCCTCACCTTGTGGGGACTGACTGTCTAGATTGCAAATCAAGAGCAGGCATTTTAACCGATTCTAGCTTGCTTGACCCAGACACTTTGAGCCTGATTGTACTTCCTTACCAATCAAGCAGAACTGAATGGAGACAAAACTTGGAACCTGCCTGGTCTTTATGGTACAGACAAAATATCACTGCAGCTTTAGCCACAGGCTGAGCCCTGCAAAGATAGGTTCAATACCATCCTGTCTTTGCCAGGTGTCCTTAAACAAAGTAAGACAATCATCCCATCTGAGCTGGATTCAGAAGTTTAGACCCAGTCACCGAGAAAATAAACTACAACATAACTCACTAAGACTTCCAACATGTAAGAGAAAATCTGCTAATTTAAGTGCATTAAAAGATGAACCATGGGGGGGAAAAAAAATACTGTTTACAACATACAACAGATTCAGTCAGATTATGAATGCTCTGTCTCAACTCTATTCACCAGGCTTGGCTGCATACCTCATTAGATCCTTAGCATTGGAAAAACCTATTAAGCAGTTTTAAAATTTTCAACTGATTGAAACAGTCATACTGGTGAAAGAATATTCATTAAACTTAAAGAAAAACAAGGCTATTAGCAAACAGTTAAGTGATATTTGATTTTTTTTATTGTTTAGTGGACAGGGAATATGCCCACTGCCTATTATCGAATGCACAGTTCTGAAAAGGGGCCTTGCAACTGCATAGTTAACTTTTTTTGGCTCCAAAGTTGCTCACTAATAACGGGATCTGTATCTGAGCTATCCTGCTCAAAATGAGAACACAACACATATTGTTTCTTTGTGGTTTGTTTATTTCTTTAACTGGAAGGCTGTCAAGTGATTGAAGACCAGCATTGTGTGGCAATTCCACGCCCACCATCTGTAACAGAAGCTATTGATAGTTAATAAAATCAACTACGGAGTAGGGGAAGAACAAAAAGAAAATCAGTGATATTTAGGTACTTACCCCAGCATCCTAAAAAACATGGAGTGCTTTAAAAGAAAAAAAAAGTAACAAGTGAAAAGAAATTACGCACTTCCAGTTTACGTTCCTTCTCTGCTAGGATTTCGTTTTGACTACGGATGTAATCAGCCAGCATACGTGCCAACTGCTTGCGATCTTCCAGTTCTGCAGCCAGTCTGCCATTGTAGTCTGCCAAGAGCATGCAGGCCTCATCCACAGTTTTGGAAAGTCTGTCTGCGGACTCTTTGTCTAAATTGGAACCATAAACCACATATTACATTCAGAAGAAATTTTTACAACCATTTCTTCATTTGAAAATTTCAAAGCAAGCAATTTTCTATCTATGGAAATTTGCTACTTGCCTGTTATTTTATCTAACAGAGAAACATCTTGAACTTCTGGTGGCAATGATGCAATCTTCTGTCGAACAGCTGCATCACCAGAAGCTGCATTTTCTAGCTCTTGCAATGACTTAATTAGATCCTCAGTCTGACACACAAACAAAAAAAAAATCACGTAAACGACAGTCTTGCTTGGATCTCATACTGCCATTCTTTGGCAATTGCGTAGCTTTGTTAATAATATCTGATATGGCTGTTTATACAAGTCCAAAATAGTATTTGTGAAGTGGAGCACACAAGTACTTGTAGAAAACTGAAAATCTCATTGAATTGGCCCTCTATAATCAGTGCACTGTAAAAAGATAGTGGTAAAAAATACAATATACAGCTCAACTACGAACCTTGCAATTCTATGTAACTTGACATATCAGATTAGAACTGCTTTGAGGAGGACAGACCAGAAAAAGGTAATAGCAATAAGACAGATGTACAAATATTCTAACCCAATGCAAAAACATCACAGCAAATTAATTTCCATGTTGCATTGGCACGTGCAATGCAAGGTGTATTTAGAAATATTGCTGATTAAAGACACAAGACAGGATATCAATAACAGAGTCTGTTGGTTTAAATAGTAATGGTTTTCAATACGTAGCAAATTGCAATGCTGTTAAAATACAAACACGTCATCTGTACTATAGCTTGAGGTACTGCTTTGCAAATATTACCAACTGCCCACAAGTCACTATACAGCATTATAATTAGTTTAAATTTAAAAAAGAGAATTAAAAAAATATTAATTATTACATACTCATGAGGAGAAGGTGGCACAGTCGTAATGTCACTGGACCAGTAGTCCAGGGGCCCGGACTATTGCTTTGAAGACACAAGTTCAAATTCTATCATGGTAGCTGGTAGAATTTAAGTTCACCAAGTAAATACGAAATATACAGCTACTCAGTAATGGCAGTGACCAGAAAAGCATCATCAATTGCTGCAGAAACCTATCTCGTTCATTAATACCCTTCAGGATAGGAAGCTGGCCATTGTTTCAAGGAATCACGTTGGACTCAAAAAGTTAACACTTTCTCTCTCCAGATGCTGCCAGTCCTGCAGAGTTTCTCTAGCAATCTTTTTATTTCCAATCTCCAGCATCCACAGCACTTTTCTTTTATATTAGTCTAAAATTCTTATCTGATCTACTCTACATCTGACTATAAACTAAGAACAATGCCTTCTGAAATAGTCAAGCAAGTCACTCAGTTTAAGGTCAATTAGGAAGAATAAATTTAAAAAATCTCACACAACAAATTACTTATTTTCTGCATGGCAGGGTAGAGAAGGAGGAAATTAACACACCAAAACAGTTTACTTTGTGGGAAGCAAAGAGAGAAAGCATTTTACAGTTCTCAAAGAAGCAACATAGCTAAAGAGAAAACCCGTTGTGAACTGAATGATGGGAATTGATAATATTTGCAAAGCAATACCTCAAGCTATTGTACAGGCAGTATTTGTGTTTTCACTTTGACAGCATTGCATTTGTCATCATCTGAACATCAGATTTGATTTGGTTTTTGATTTATTTCAAAATTTATCCAGTGCTTTTACTCAGTTTTAAGTATATTACACAGTCAACAAACAGAATAGGACTGCCCAAATACTCCAATACTAAGGAATAACAGCACAACACAGGACAGTATCAGTAACAGTATCTGTGGAAAAAAATAACTTGCAATGCATGACTGTGAAATTCTGTGGCCAGTATATAGGTTCATACAGTAGTCTTTAAAGTGAACTGGTAAATATCAAAATTTGGTTAGTGAGAAAACCATTGAAAGAATTTTGCCAAATACATTAATCTTCAAAATAGACAAATATTGATGAATAGGGCCCAAGACAAATAAAAGGGATTAAAACAATTCAAAGCCCTTCCCCAAACATACTTCCTGGTGGGGAATTAGGAAACCTCTAACAATGTGCCAAAACTAATACTAACATTTTTTTTAAAGTTGGTAACAGACAATTTACCTGTCCATGTAGTTAAGTCAATGTTGCATGCCCTTTAACTTAATTTGTATCCAAGGTAGATAAATGTAAAGGAAGTTCTGGTTGAATACAATAGAGAACAAGTTTCAGAAATATTCAGCCCAAATAAAAAAAGTCTTTTGATATTTGATCAAATAGTTCATTGAGACGTATCACAAATAAATAGCTAGAAAACAAAGATCATTGCAGACTCCTCAGTCATGTGTAGCACACAGCATGAAATTAACTTGGCGGAAGGTAAACTGTAGAAATGTTTATATCTGTAATAGATCAATTTGTGGTCATTCATGAGGGCAAACAAACCTGTAAAAATATTCCTGCTATGAATTATATGGATCTGTGTGCAGCAGAGAATGTAGCATAATAGCTATTCTATGATAATGTACATAACACATGCTTTTACTGTGCTTACAAAATCTTTTATAAATTTTATGCAAGTTTCATCAAATAAAATTCGATTACCCAAATCAGCTTTTCTTCCCCTTTCCTGATGTGCTTCCATTGACACCAAACTGAACTTGAATGCGGATAATCAGCAAAGATAACACGCAAGGTCACTACCAACAAGTCTGATCCTGTTCCTCTACTTTATGTGAAATCATGGATATGTGCCAGACAGATATGTTACTGGGCAGCAGTGAAGGGCAGGAAACGTGGAGGAGAATATCGATCCTCTCTAGTCCACTGTGACTAGACCAAATACAACATTCAAACTGCTGCTCTGAGATTAACAAACTCAGCACTAAAATTTATCCCGGAACATTCTGTGCCCTCTATTTCTAGAAGCATTACAAATTGATCAACCAACTACTCAAAAGGTGATAGTTAAAACTTATTCTTAAACAAAAAAAAGGCCAGTTGTATTTTGTCTTCCTGTCAATGAAAGAGCCATGATGAGTGATTAAATCCACCTTCAGCAAAGATATCTTTCATTTCCACTGCACTGAAATACACTAGAACTTTAAGATTCTAGTACACAGAGGAGAAATAATTGACTCTGTTTCGGAGAAATGCAGCTGCCAATGTAAACCTCAAAGCTTTATAATGATCAATAATTACTGATTGGCCCAGTATCTAATGAGATTTGATGTAGTATTACAAATTGGACACAGAATTTCCTAGTGATGACCTGCAAATTATTGCGTGACAAACTTTCAGTCATGACATCACAAAGTGTAATCTTCTTCTGGGAGTCAGTTAACCTGCAACAATGCAAAACAAAAAGTACCCAAAAGAATGGCATCACAAACAGCCACAGACTACTGGGTATCAATACACTGGACTTTTGTTCTGGTTTGGGTTTGTTATCAATATGTTACTTTAATTTGAAGCAATAGTAACCAAATTCCAGGGATTGATTACAATCTTGAATTCTGACCAGTGGAGCTCATCTGACAAAAATCCATAGGTTTTCAGAAATGCACAACTGTATGCATTAGTCATTTTATGTTAAATAACCTGGCAATACCTCTGGTGGTTCTTTAGGCGTACTGTTGGAGAGATAGTCATCATCATCTTCCTCCTGTATTTGTTCAAAGGTACGTTTCTTGGCCTTTTTCTCTGTTACTTAACAAGCAGTAAAAGACAAATGTAACATTTATTTTGAAAAGTCAAGAATTAAAACAGAAGTCCTTGTGCCTTCCGCTGCCAAGGTCTACATATTTACACTTACAAAGAATTTGTTTAAGCTGATCGATGAAGTTGTTTTCATAAACCATCCTCTCTTGCCAAATAGCTAACACTCTTTCCAAGTGCTTCTTACAATTTTCATCAGATTCACTGTCAAATAAGAAAGCAACATGCAGTTAGTCAATTTCACCTCCAAATCTGTGCAACATGTACTGTTACACAGGAATTAAACTTGTCGACAACATCTATTTCAGTGGATATGAGCAAAGAAGGAAACAACACATTAGTACGAAGGTAACAGATAAAACAAAAAAAGCTATTCAATCTGTCTGAGCCCATCTTTTAGGATACTAGTCCTCTCTCATTACAACATCTGCGAGTTCCTTAATTCAGTCCTATGTCTAGTCTCAACTATCATCCCCTGAACACATTCCAGCTGCTGACTGCTATTAAGGAAATACTAGATGATATTCTCTCCATAGTTTTGCTCATTACTTCTAAAAATTGTAAACCATTGTTACTTTCCTCGCTGTCCTTCTAAATGTCTGTTTTATCTTGAATGGTCTCCCTTGAATCAATTCTTTCAAAGGCTGAAGGGCTCCATTGCATCTAAATGCATAAAACAGCCCCTATACCTAACAATTCTTCGTCATTCTCCTGTGCATTACCTTGTGCTATCAACTATGTCTCAAGGTCCCACACAATATCAGAACGTGGACAGGAGAACTGAGAGTTCTGGCCAATATTTAGACCTCGTTACCATTAAGAATTGGTTAGGTGATTATTTCTCTCACTGACCTACTTGTGCAACTTGACTGTTGTGCTTCCCTCCATTATACTACATCATTTTTAGAACTAACATTACAGACCATAAATATTATAGACCCTAAAATAAACAGAAGAATTAGGCCATCTGGCCCACTGAGTCTCTCCGTCATTTGATCATGGCTAATATATTTTGTTACAATGAATGCAATTTGCTTAAAATCCCAGTGTTTTTCCACTGGTTACACATATCAAGGAAATGCACCAAGCAAAAAAAAAAAATGCACAGCAGTCAAACAGTAACTCCAGAGCAAACTCCCACAGGATAAACAAACTAATTTATTTTAGCATTATGTTTAATTTCAGAACCCATTATTAGAAGCAAATGACATTTCACAAAGCTCTCAAATATAGCACATAGGTACAAAATATAGCAGAATTAAAGGTACATTAATGAAGAATTTATCATTAATGTACAATCACAATCTACTCCGGTACACTTTTCCATACACAAGTTACAGACTTCTGCACACCTCGACTACACGACGCCTTTCAAAACAATGCAGGTCAAGTGGCCAAGGTAGGCGGATGGTTTGGTTCTGCTGTTAAGACAATGGTATAAAGGAAGCCTGTTTGTTGGGAATAATACCACTTATTGCCAGTAGGTGGGCTCTTGCATCTAGAATACTGTGTTAAATGAGGTTCCAAGCACAGCTCCCAAGTGTCTTGGTTATTTTCCAGGCGTCGACAAAAAAAAATGACTCCATCATAACAGACAGCTTCAAACCCAGACTTTATTTAAGGGAAATTAAAATCAAATGATGGGCTAACAACAGAAATTGCTAGAAAACCTCAGCAGGTCTGGCAGCATCTGCGGAGAGAAATCAGAGTTAACGTTTCAGGTCGAGTGACCCTTCCTCAGAACAGGTGAAATACATCCTTAGATCACTCGAGCTAAAACATTAAGTCTGATGTCTCTCCACAGCTGCTGCGCTTTTCCCAGCAAATTCTGTCTTTGTTTCTGATTTTCAGCATCCACAGTTCGTTCTGGTTTTATTTGGTGGGATTTCAACTTTTGTCCCTTATATATTAGCCCAGGAATCTGATAGAATGCCCAACGTAACTTCGCAGCTTGTTAAATTTGGCTTCCCATTGAGTTGTTGCTCAGGACCAATAGTGCTATCCATTTTAGCACTGTCAAATTCCCCAAAAAGACAGAATTACTTGATTCTTCAAAAAACATTTGGATGTTAGGTGATTACATTGGTTATAATGTAGTACATAAATCAACAGGGATTATTTTGCATTCAATCTTTCTTTCCTGGTCTCACCCAAATGAAGCTCCACGACTAGCACATACAAGGAAGGAAATGAAAATCATCATTGTTTGGTACACCTGTGCAATAGAGAGAGGCGCTGGAGTCATTAATGTATGCTGTGGATGAGTCATTCACAGGAGGGCAATTTTTTTCTTAAAAATATATTTACAGTACATGGAGGTTTTGGAACAGGGCCAGCAGTTATTGCCCACTCCCAACTTCTTTTTGGGGGTTTGGGGTGGGGGGGCTTATGTACAGCTTGTTGGTTATTAGCTCTGTACACATCCAACCAAGTGGAGAATATCCCCTCATATTCTTGACAGACACCTTCTTTACAACATAAAGTACAGAAAGGTGTTTAGGAGATGAGCTCAGAGCTGCAGGATTCTTGATCTTTAACCTGTTTAGTAGACACTATATTTATATTGTTAATCTTGTAAAGTTGCAGATCTATGACAACCCACAGATGTGAAGGTAGAGATTTCAGCAATGACAATTCTGAATTCCAGGGGAAGCAGTCAGATTTCCTTCTATTGGAGATGGACAATGTCTGCCATGGATGTTGGTAATACAAATGGCAAACATTTCTTGCCACCTAACCCCCAGCTCTGAATGTTATCCTAGTCTTGCGATATGAACTGTCTCAATATTAGACAAGATGCCAATACAGCTGAACAGCATGCAATCATCACTGAACATTCAATTTCTGATATTTATAAAATATGAGGGAGCATGTTTAAAGCAGCAGTTGAAGTAGCCTTGGCCCATAACCCTGTCCACAGAAACTTTCTGGTAATGTGCTGGATCAGGCACAGGTGATTGTTTTATATTTTAGCCCAATCATAACCATTTCCTTCCTGTTAGGTGTGACTCCAACAGGTGGACAGAACGCCCCCACCCCTCCCATCGTCATGCCAGATTCTCATCAACTTCAATTTTACAAGATCTCCATGTTGCGATTGTTATGACTAGACCCCTGGCTGTTCTAGGCAGGATACCCCAAAGTGTTAAGCATCTGGTGAAGATAGATTAACTGGCTCCTCTTTATTCATCTGCCTCCTCAGTTAGTTGCAAAGTTATTTTTAAAAAAAGCATCACTTTTATTGTAGATGTCTTTCTCTCAAACACAAGTGAACTGGTGATAAAAGGGGCCAATTTAATCAGGCTTTCTTGAATTAACAGTAAAAGTTTATTATTTAAACACAAAATTAAAATCATACAGATTAGAAATAAGAGGCAAGTACAAAAGAAATTTTTTTAAAAATACATGTACAGATCAGTCTCAGTTATTCAAAGAGCAGTTATATGAATGCTGCAGAGTAGATTACCAGTCTCATTGACGTTGGTAGATGAACAGTTGGCTTCACAGTCCTTGGTTTGATTGGTTGAGACTCATTCTTTATGCCTTTCGATAGTGATTGAATTCCAGAATTCAGGGCAAGCGAGTCTCCCTTCTAGTTGGTTTGCAGCACTCAGGTGACTATAAGATAGTCACATTTAAAAACTATCACAGCATGCAAACGCTGAAATTCAGGCTGGTACACTCATCTACTCCTCTCGCGTTGAAGCTAGCTTTTTAAAAACAGTGTTCTGTGAACTCCAGGACAGTATATCAGACATGCCTGCAAGAAGTGGTTTTCATATGAAGCGGAGATCATTAGCCCTTGTTGTCTCTTCTTCTAAAGTCTCTCCTTGCTTCAAGTTTCCTCAACAATTTCCCTGTATAACTTTTCAATGGCTTCACGCAGGACTTTGCCAGACACTGAATTTATACCTGCAGGTGTTCTTTTCCCCCCTCACAGCCATTCTCTTTGTTTAAAAGAAGATTTTAGTATTAATAATAAACATGGTCTACAAATACTTTGGGGCTCTGATGTATCATCATAAAACTACACTTAGTCAAATGCTGGCTTGATATCAAAAGCAGTAACTCTCACTTTATCTCTGCAAACCCACTCTTTTTTCCATGTTTGGAAGAAGGCTATAATGAGATCTGGGGACAATTGGTCCAAAGTCAGCACAGGTGAGTAGATTGAGGAATAAGGGCTACTTGACAGCAAAGATGTCAGTAACAGTTTTAATTTGATTTGTCCTGTTTTTTGAGAATAGGCCATACTTAGACAATTTTTTATATTATCAGGGAGATGCCAGTATTGTACTTTACTGAGCAGCTAGCTACTGCAGCATGCCTTTGCCACTATAGCCAGTATGCCTTAATCAGTGCGCTCAGTAATTTCCTGATATGTAGACTGAATTGGTCGAAAGCTGACTTGTGTGCACAAAGCGAGCTCAGAAAGAGACTGAAATTAATTATTCACTCTGCACTTCTGGCCGAAGACGATAACATACAACTCAGCTCTGTCTCTTGTACTCACTCTGCTTCCGCTCTCTCACACAAGATGAAACATGCACTCAACACCAATGGAAGCCATTTTTGCATCAGATTGGACCAAGTCAGAGGTTAAGACTACTGTAGTAGCACACCAGATTGAGCAGCACTTATTGTTCCTTAACTATAAAAAAAATAGCAGTGCTGTTTAGCAGTCTCCCAAACAATCAGCACAAAAGCAGCCCTGAGCAGTGTAATATCAGTGACAGAAGGCTGTGGAAGAGGTTTTTAAAGGAACACAAATAAATAAGTGAGCTTTGTTAGCAGTTTGAGTGTCTCAGGGAGAAATATGAACTAAAGAAATAGCATTGAGTGAATACAGACATTTACTGAAAAGAAACCAAGAACAGCTTGGCCAACTGAAGGAGGGACTAAACTGGATACCCGGTGGAGATTCAAATACCGGTAAGATGGTTTTGAGTGTAAAGGATTGAATCCTTATGATATATGTTAAAAGACTATTTCAACTAGTTCTTGAAAATATAAAAATGTTATTTTATATGTGTAATAAACTCATGTTCTTTTATTAAAAGTACATTGTCAACTTCTTAAAAATATGTTCAGTGACTGATCACCACAGTAAGTAAACTACAAAAGTAAAAAAACAACTTACGGGTCATCCAACAGGTTTCACCCTGGGATTATTCAGTGTAAATCGAAATAGCAGAAACAGAAGTTGTCATTTGAAAAGACATGGGTCAGAGCTTATTATTGGAAAGTGTAGAATGTAATGTTGAGTCTAGAAGTCTGTAGAATGACTAATCAAAAGATGAAGTACTGTTTTTTAGGAATACATTGAGCTTCATGGTAATAGTCTAGGAGTCAGAGAACAGAGGAGCCCTCAGAAAGAGTGACATCTGGGAAATAAAACAACAAGCCTGGGGAAGCTCAGGCCATTTCCTGCCAACTGAATTGCAGTGTTCTGCAAATCAGATATCCAATCTGCACATGGGGAGCCTCAGTGCAGATTAATGTTGCAAATTATAATTACAGTAGGTCGAAAGAGATTAAATTGACGGTTCACCTGGAAGTAGTGTTTGGGGCTCTGGATGTCGGGAGGTTTTATACTCGCTGTGAGCGAATGAAAAGGAAAAGGAAATGGTGCAAGCAGCACATTCAGAATTGAGATGATGCTTTGGAAACAGCAATCATGTTGGATGCATCAGAAGTGGCACGAAATTGCTGCACATGGAGGATGGTGGTATGAAAGCTCGGGGCAGGGAACATCATATTGGTTTGGGACAGAGAGAAATGCAGGAAACGTAGTGAACACAGTGAGGGGCCCAGTGAATCATACTGGAGTGGAATCCTCAAATGGAGGAGAAGAGACAGATTCAAAGCACTTGTATGAAAGATAGTCTATTAAACCTAGTCTTTAAAGGCCCATAAATGGCTACTTGTCTTGGACTCCATGCCTTTTGGAATTTTTCCATAATGATTTGGCAGACAGAGTCATAGAGATGTACAGCACAGAAATAGACCCTTTGGTCTAACTTGTCCATGCTGACCAGATATTCTAAATTAATCGAGTCCCATTTGCCAGCAGTGGTCCATAGTCCCTAAATCGTTCTTATTCATGTACTTGTCCAGAGGCCTTTTAAATGTTATTGTACCAGCCTCCACTACTTCCTCTGGCAGTTCATTCCATACAGACACTACCCTCAGTGTGAAAAAGTTGCCACTCAGGTCCCTTTTAATCCTTTGTCCTCCTTGCCATGTGGAACAAATGTTATATCAGAATGTGATGTGAGGGTGGATGCATGTGAACAGTTCCCACTCAAGACATAAAAGTTACGGTTTGTGATTCTTTCCCTTTTCATAATAGCACCTCCTCCTGCACAGATACAGTTGCATCTTCACAGACTACAGTAGTGGGTCAGTCAGAATTGATTCTGGTTGCTGCTTAGGAAGAGTAAAGAGGAATGTTAGACTCACCTGGTTACTTGCTGTTACAGTACTAGTCAAGATCAGTATGTTACTTCTCATTAGGTGAATTTTATACAGCACAGTATTAGCTGGTTTCCTTAAAATTCAGTCTCACAAGCAAATTTTTGCTTCAAATACTTTCCTTTTTCTTTCCTCCATCAGCTCTCGGTGCTGTGGTGCAAGTCCATGTCTTTGTAGTATTCTTACCACTCCCAGTGCAGCTATCTACAGAGATGCCACAGTGCAGTAGCAGCAAGACAATCAGAGGTTGTAAGGGTATTAAACCTTCAGTGGGAAGGATAGTCAGAGAGGTTGAATTTAACAGGACTAATTTATAAAAGAAGCTTTTTAAAAAAGTTTGGGAAGGCAGTTTGCTTGTTGATAAATTTTGTGCAAAACCCAAATAAAATTGAGAACTCTTTAGAAAAAAGTAGGGAACATGTTCAAGGATGGTACTGTTGCCAGAACTGACATCACAACAATCAGTTTAGACCAGAAAAAGTTTTACAATATTTGGCACACCTTTACTGAAGTACAATTCTAATTAATTTATTCCCATTTAGTTTCTTTAAAAAAAAAAGACATACCTCAACTTCAAGACACTCAAGATAGAAGAAAAATAGCTCCCCAATAGGTTTTACCCTTGTTGGTTAGACTGTTGTTTTTAAGTGCATATTCTACTGTTTAAGAAAAAAAATCATATTGATTCTCTAAAACCTGATCGTTCAGAGACATCCTTTAGAAGTGACTGCGCAGACATTTTTCAAGGAAAGAGCAAAACAACAGATTGCCTTTCAGACAAAAAGTTGGAACACAACTTCAATATTTCAGAATAATTCCTAATCAGATAACTTGATTATTACAGGCATTTAATATCTGAGGTGGACAGGTTATTAACAGAACTCTGGATTGGCAGATTTGCAGTGAATAGATTTAGTACCTTGAAACATGTGAAAACGCATCCACCAAAACTGGAGCAAAATCCTTGGTAAATTCTGGTCCCTTTTTCTTACTGTTCTGGATCACATCATTTGCCAGATAAAGAAAAGTCAGTTTTCTACTTGGTTTAGCTGTGGATAAAAATTGGAAAAAAGGAAAAAAGTCAAGAGATCTCGTGTTACTTAATATTTGTTAATGGGTTATAGCTTTTTATTCTTTCTGGTGAAAAACTGTCATATTTTCTACAGTTTGTGTATTCATTTCAAAGATACACTCATGGATTGAGCATTTTAATTTTCTGATACTCCAGCTAAGCTGCATACAGAACAATGGGAAACAATTTTTCATTTATATAGTACCTTCACGGCGTCGTGATGTCCTAAAGCATTTCACTTCAATTAGTACTTTTGCTCACCAGTGTTTCAATGTAGAGGAGCAACCAACTTACACGGAAGGTCCACAAATATAGAACACAGAACTGTACAGCACAGGAATGGGCCCTTTGGCCCACCATGTTGTGACAAACATGTACTGACCTAAAAGTCTCTTAAACACCCCCATCGTACCTGCCTCCACCACCATCCCTGGCAGCACATTCCAGACTCGTATCACTTGCTGTGTAAAAAAAAACTTCCCCCCTTTCACCTTAAAAGCATGCTCCCTAGTTCTAGGCATTTTAACTCTGGGGAAAAAAAGATTCTGACCATCAACCCTATCAATGCACCTCATAACTTTGAAATAACAAGGTGTAGAGCTGGATGAACAAAGCATGCCACGCAACATCAGAGGAGCAGGAAGGCTGACGTTTCGGCCCTAGACCCTTCTTCAGAAATGGGGGAGGGGAAGGGAGTTCTGAAATAAATAGGGAGAGAGGGGGAGGCAGATAGAAGATGGATAGAGGAGAAAATAGGTGGAGAGGAGACAGACAGGCCAAAGAGGCAGGGATGGAGCCAGTAAAGGTGAGTGTAGGTGGGGAGTTAGGGAGGAGATAGGTCAGTCCAGGGAGGATGGACAGGTCAAGGGGGCAGGATGAGGTTAGTAGGTAGGAGATGGGGGTGGGGCTTGAGGTGGGAGGAAGGATAGGTTAGGGAGGCGGGGACGAGCTGGGCTGGTTTTGTGATGCGGTCGGGGGAGAGGAGATTTTAAAGCTTGTGAAGTCCACATTGGTACCATTGGGCTGCAGGGTTCCCAAGCGGAATATGAGTTGCTGTTCCTGCAACCTTCGGGTGGCATCGTTGTGGCACCGCAGGAGGCCCAGGATGGACATGTCGTCTGAGGAATGGAAGGGGGAGTTGAAATGGTTCGCGACTGGGAGGTGCAGTTATTTAGTGTTATAACTTTGTAGACTTCTATCAAGTCTCCCCTCAGCCTTGCATGATCCGGCAAGGTCTTTTTGTTTTTCTAGTCTCTCCTTAAAGCTCATATCCTCTAAGTTCATGCTGAACAGTACCTTTTCTCTGTACAACAATGTAGTGCCTGCCCACTGTAAGTGTTCGTGTGCTGGAATATGGCTTGAAACCACAACCTAAGTTCAGAGGGAAGAATGCTACATTAAACAGGATTTCAATGGTGTTTATATTAAGGGGAGAGGGGGGGTTATTTCCTAAACATAGTCAAAGTAACCAAAACCTGGGAGGCACAGTGGATAAAAGTATTGTCATTCAGATTCTGGTAAAAATAGGAAAGGTCTGAAGCATACTTTCATTAAATCATAAAGCTGCAAACATTCAGAAAATAAGCAATATTCAAACATTACTATTTTCAAGCTCCCAGTTAAGCAACACTGATTTTTAAATTTCAATGGTCGGACTCCTCACACTCTCTAATCTTCCCCAGCCTGACAACACTCCTATCAAAAATCAGAATTGGAGGAGCTCTAAGTATCCCAGTTTTAAAATAAAAATCACTCCATTGTGCTTTCAGTTGCCAAGGATGTAAACTCTAGAGTTTATTTCCTAAGCTTCTTGTTCCACCTTTAAGACATTCCATCTGACCACGCTTTTGCTCATATCTCCTAATATTTCTTTATAAAGGCTCCACATAATATTCTGTTCAATGACACTCCCGTGAAGGCAGGGCACAAAGGGTGCAATATAAATGAAAGTTATTGTTATAATGTAGGTGTTTTCATGTAGAAATTATTCACTGACCACCCACATAGCTGTGACACGTTTCATAGACCCCTTCTAAACAATACAAGTAAGTATACATCAAGTACATATGCACATTGCATCCATCACCATTCAGCATGGAGTATGATAGTTTACATTTTTGTATCAAATTTTGGAGTTCAGGCATGAATATAATGAAGGCATTCCAGTGCAAATTCTAGTTTTTTTCTAGAATTTGAAAGTGATATTTTGACTGGCTCAAAAAGATTTGGCCCCGCTGTCCATTTACATGGCTGGATGTTATTTGGTCTTGATATACCCCATTGCATGATCTGGCAATGTCTTTGTGTTTTTCTCGCTGGCTTGAGTGATTATTACAAAATGGTTGCACTGCCCCTTATAATAGTTCCTCTCTCCAAACAAAGCTGTCAGTGCTTGCATGTTACACTGTTTTCATGGACTACCAAGACAAAATAACCAAAGATATAAAGCACAATCAAGGAACATATTGTGTACTGTTAAAAAAGGTTCAAAAATAAAGTAAAAGCCCATTCTTTCTGCAAGCAAATACGAGTACTAAAATTATCCAAATGTCTGTTACTTACTAATTAAAAATGCTATTAGTCATATCTGCATTCTCGATGAACGAAGAATGATTTATTGCCACTTACAGTGAATACAGTAAAATAGTGAAATGCTTCTATAGTTGCCATAATCTGGCATATTTTGAATAGTTTAATAAATATGATAGAAGATAATACTGATGGAGAATAGTTTAAAGAATAAAAAAAGATAAAACTGAAGAGTTCCAAGCCAGCTCACCAACAACATGTGCGTCGCTACCCCTCCTCCATCACCTTGCTGCTGCCTACACCGGACCCACCACCCTTTAGGCACCATCTCTTCACTGCTGGGCCCACCTCGCCGCCACCAATGCTGGGTCACACGCTGACCCCACATTTGCCCTGCAACCGGGAGTCCCCAGCTCCGCTGCCACCTCGATGATGCCAGCAGGCTAACATAATGAACAACACTGCTACAGCAAGTCAGATCGCACAAGCTTTTGATTGACAGAATGATCACAGACGTTCACTGGCATTGATTGAGATTGTAGTGGGCACATTAGCTTCATTTAGCTTTGTGAAGGTGGCCAGTACAGCCACCACTGCAGGAGTTTCTAAGGGTAATATCACTGCCAAAAATCATTTTCAGATACTTTATCAATGACCTCCCCTCCATCATAAGATCAGAAGTGGGGATTTTTTCTGATCATTCTTTCAGAAATGCCGTAGCCTGTGCCCAAATGCAGCAAGATCGAGACAAAATTCAAGCCTGGGTTCACAAGTAGCAAGTAACATTTGTGCCACCTATTGTCAGACAATAGCCAATAGGCAAGAGACAATTCAATTCAATCACCCCCCCCTTGGCAGTCAATGGCATTATGATCGCTGAATGCCCTCCACAAATCAACATCTGGCGGGGGGG